TAAAGCCCCACATATCTACATTTTTCAAGAAATCAATTCCTAAATAGTCCAAGATTCAAATTGTGCAGGGTATTTAGAAATGTGGCCATTTTAGTTGGAGAGATGTATTTATTTAGTCTTTTGTTTTCTTTGGAAATTCATACATGTATTTGGTTTCGAGTCAACTTGGACCCAAACCAACTCGGACCCATGCCAACTCGGACCCATGCCAACTCTGACCCACAACCATCTCAGACCCATCCCAACTCGGACCCAATACTAACCCGGACCCACGACCAACTCGGACCCACAACCAACTCGGACCCAATACTAACTCGGACCTACGACCAATTCGGACCCACCCTGAGTCGACTCGGACCCAACCCCAGGAGCGTGATTAACTTGTTAAAAATTTTGATTTTGTCCACTTTTACATTTTAGCATTTGGTAAATGACACTTTTGCACTGCATGCTGTCGAGATGTAATGTCCTCTCTACACGTAATGCTTCCCAGAATTTCTCAGTTTTTGAGTTTGAACAGGCATGAGGGTTGAAAACCGTACAGGACTAGATTTGATATCAGTGATGTCTTGGAACACGTGAGAAGTAACAGGCGAGCGTCGTATTTTTATTGAGGCACATTTCCTTTGATGTCTTATTTACTGCTTGTAATCTTGAATCTTAATCGGTCATTAGCTTCCGAGGTACCAGCGTGATTGACCACAAAGACTGATTTTGTCACCTTCCATTCTTGAAACCCTATGATCGGGGAGTGGGAGCTTGGGACAACCAATGGGAGCAGCTTTTGGAGGGTGATTGACAGTACCAAATCATTGACACCCTCTCTTCGAAGTTTTTTTGGCACTCCACATCACCAGAAGAAATCGAATGAACTTTCACCAAACAGCCCTCAAAGTTTTTGTTGCAATAATAAGCAACAGATAGACCCTTCTGCTGTAAATAAGAGATGCTGCATGCGTACAACACATACTGCAGATATACATCAATATCACGAACATTGACCATTTATAGTGTCTCATGGTGTTATCCCCCACCTCACTTTTCAAATTGTTTTGGCCTGGCAAGTTTTACACCTCCACCTTGCCCCATCCCCCCTGAATACCGGCAAAATTAAGGCAGATGGAGGAATTCATCCATACAGGCCTAAACTGACTGTCCAAATAACGCAAATAGGTTGGTAATTTAGAACAACACAAATCAAATCATTTTAAAATAAAAATGGGGAATATTTCCTATTGTCTTAAACTTGGAGACTGTTTTGAAGCGTCGTATGTCTGCTCGCGAGCTCATTATTATTTTGTGATCCCACTTTTTTTTTTACAATAAGACTTGCCATAATCACGAGGGATGATAGAATTATTCATATAAATAGAGTATTTCTTTCACAAAAAGCCCCACATTGTGGGCCTATTTTGGATAGAGACAGGCAACTACATTCAGAGCTGAGCGCATAGTTTTACTACTATTAGGAGGTATCTTCCAGAAAAGGTGAATAAAAGAAATTCATAAAATTGAAATGAAAAGTGATTGATCTGGCCATTTCTTGAATTTCCAGCGAAAAAAATTATCTTGAATTTCCAGTGAAGAAATGAAGGCCAACCTCTTCGCAAGGTTCATGAGTCGGCGCTATTTCGGTCAACGGGCGCGTATTTGGTGTCGTGCAACCACAAGACTCCGTGGGTCTGAGTTGGTTGTGGGTCCGAGTTGGTTGTGGGTCCAAGATGGTAGTGGGTCCTAGTTAGTATTGGGTCCGAGTTGGCGTGGGTCCGAGTTGGTTGTAGGTCCAAGATGGTAGTGGGTCCAAGTTAGTATTGGGTCCGAGTTGGTCCTGGGTCCGAGTTGGTCCTGGGTCCGAGTTGGCATGGGTCCGAGTTGCTTTTGGTCCGAGTTGACCTGATCCCATGTATTTCACCCTATAACATTTTGACATGGTTTGGGGACTAATGCATGTAGAGTCCAAGTACTGTAACAGGACAGTGTACCAGTCTGATTATGTAGAAGTGCATTATAGGAAGGCAAGTCTCACGGCTTGTCGAGATGGCTCCTGTAAGTTGACCATAGGCTACACTGATTGTTGTTGATAGTAATTAATGGACCTCTGCTGATATCTCATGCCCTACATCGCCATCCAAACCTGTAGTGACGGTACGCATTGTTACAGTACCTTCCATATACTTTTGGTCCCGTAATTCATTTCAAAAGGTTAGACCGCCCTGCTAAAGTTTTGCCGCCCCGCCAAAATTCTCACTGCCCTGCAATTTTTTTCTGTTGGATTTTCCCTATTCTCCATCTGCATCATCTTCAGAGTTTATCTAAATGCAAAGAAGTTTACCACATTTTATGGAACGAACATTATTAGTTTGCCATCATTATTCAGCACAACAGAAAAGCATTTCGCACCATTTGTGATCAAAGCCAGACACAGTATGCATGTAGTACGAAAGGACAAAATTGGACTGGTTCCAGTCTCTTGGTCATAACATTTTCATTTTGGAGCGTCAAGAACCAATACCTGGAATTCATTGTTTTTTCCTTGGAAAATACAGCCAATTTCTTACATGTAGTTCCAGATTTTTCCTAGATCCGGATCGTTTGAAATAAAACTTTTTTCTTCTGCTTCTAAAAGTACTTCATATGTGTTCTACAAGTTCAGGTGAAATGTAAGCTTCTTATACCAAAATTTTTGTTTTAGAAAAATCTAGAAAAGAAATTTTTGGCCAGCTAGATTTCCGTCTCGAACTTCAACATTTTTTAATGGTTCGTCAAAAATCACGAGAGCCCAAAAATTGACCTAAAAGCACCGGTTGATAAGTCATTCTGTACGTGTGATTCCAAATACTTGTGTCTTACTTAACAATCCTATAAGCGTTTGCATCTAGTGTATGTTTAATCAAACTGACTTTTGGAGTTTTTTGTAAATTGGCCAAAAACTAAATGCATATTTTTCCTGCATGTGTAGTTGTGGATTACACTGGTAGTACATTCATGTGCGTTGCCAACTTAACTACACGGGCATAACAGAATGTACATGTACTGTATGTAAGTAATTGGTCAACTGTGCAGTGTGGGGGATAGTCACTGATTGCTCGCAGTACTGCTGAAAAACTTACTCAAGTTTCACTTGTTAATTCACTGAAATTGTTATTTATGAACTATTTTTCTCAAAATTAAGAAATTCTCAATTAGAAAATTGGCTCTGGCTGACTTTTTATACGAGGAAAAACTTGTTGCTATTCGGAACCGGTTAAACTGACTCAGAACTAGAAAAAGTGTTGTCACTTTTGTCGGTCCATAAGTCCAGATTAAAAGCTTAGATTTTGAAAGTAATTTTGTAATTTTACCACTACACAAAGTGGATTGCACCGGATTTATAGAATTTTGTCGCTGAAATCTGACCATGGAGTTATTTTTGAGATCCAGAATTAGGGAAGGGACTGTACATCATCCACTTGCACAGTGCCCATGTACGTACACTGTACATGTAATCCCGAACCATCCACTCAATGGCGAGTTCCAATCAGTCAAAAAAGAAAATGCCCCCCCCCCCCAAATCAACTTTTGATGACCTCCCGATAACAATCTTGCCTTCATTTCAACACGAGCAAATTTGATTCAAGGAATCTACAGAAAATGCCCTGGAAATACCCCAGATTGCAGAGCATCTTAGAATCCAAAATCTGCCATAAGGGGTTTTGTTACAGTCATTGTAAGTTGAAGACCACATGCATGCTAGCCAATGAGAATTGAGCACAGCAGTGGAAGAGTATATGTTTTTGGTTGAACTGTCTCAGAAAACAAAGGGTGCTCGGCTAGAACAATAAGTGGGATTTTTCACAAAAATGGTGTCACAATGACCACAAAGAATTACTGTTGTGATATCAGAATACATGTAAATGTTAAGTGTCCCCACCCCAGCTCTTTTAAGATGAAGTTGATCTATGAGATGTTCTTCAAGAAATCCCCACTTGCATACTCGCATATTTCACTCTTTGTATAAAACACAAGTTACTGGGTACCATCTTTTGTTTGTACAACCAAATCAACTGGCTTAGGCTGACAGTAGTTCATAAGTCTATGGGAAATGACTGCAGCCGCTTGCTTGTGGCTCTATACAGTAGTTATTGCCCTTACTTCTAGCTGCAGCCATACCTTTTGCACATTAGCTTTTTCAAGAGGTAGTTCCCGAGAACATTTGTCTACCAATGCAGACAGATAATAGTGACCTCTTTTTATCTTTACCAGGTACCAGATCTGGCATCACTTGATACAGTAAGATGTTAACAGTGTGGTTGGTCCCCTGCCTGTGGGCTCATCCTCTGGCATCACTGCCCTGATAGAGTAAGGCGATAACAACGTGGTTGGTCCCCTGCCTGTGAGCTCATCTTCTGGCATCACCGTGGCCTGATAGAGGAAGGTGATACCAGCATGGTTGGTCCCCTGCCTGTGAGCTCATCTTCTGGCATCACTGCCCTGATAGAGTAAGGCGATAGCAGCGTGGTTGGTCCCCTGCCTGTGAGCTGATCTTCTGGCATCTCTGCCCTGATAGAGTAAGGTGATAGCAGCATGGTTGGTCCCCTGCCTGTGAGCTGATCTTCTAGCACCACTGCCCTGATAGAGTAAGGTGATAGCAGCATGGTTGGTCCCCTGCCTGTGGGCTGATCTTCTGGCATCTCTGCCCTGATAGAGTAAGGTGATAGCAGCATGGTTGGTCCCCTGCCTGTGAGCTGATCTTCTAGCACCACTGCCCTGATAGAGTAAGGTGATAGCAGCGTGGTTGGTCCCCTGCCTGTGAGCTGATCTTCTGGCATCTCTGCCCTGATAGAGTAAGGTGATAGCAGCATGGTTGGTCCCCTGCCTGTGGGCTCATCTTCTAGCATCACTGCCCTGATAGAGTAAGGCGATAGCAGCGTGGTTGGTCCCCTGCCTGTGAGCTGATCTTCCAGCATCACTGCCCTGATAGAATAAGGTGATAGCAGCGTGGTTGGTCCCCTCTTTGTCTGCTCATTTTCTGGCATCACTGCCCTGATAGAGTAAGGCGATAGCAGCGTGTTTGGTCCCCTGCGTGTGAGCTCATCTTCTAGCATCACTGCCCTGAAACAGTAAGCTGTCTCTCTCCCAGCGGCATTACACAAAACATGATTTGCTGAACCGATTTGTTCTTGTACATTTATCCTTGTACATGGGTAATCCTGCAAAATTTGGCCCATAAAGTCCTGAAATAGGTAATGGAAATCAGGAACATGCCCTCCTTGGGCTAATTTTGATGGCTTTATGGAATAATTATAAATACACAAGCTATCCTTGTCATTCCGTAGGAGTGGCTATGGTTGTCGTTCATACTACCAAACAACTTTTCTCCGCAAAGTGGCATGAAATGTCATGGAAATTGTCGTATACTAGTCCTCGAAAGTCCTGAAAGGTTACCGACTTTGAGTAAGATTACTGAATTTGGTTTTTCAATTTCTATGGGAACCCTTCTTGTGCCAGTCAGACCCCACCTGACCTGTTACTCCCTGCACTGCCAAACACTGTATGGTTTTATGGATTTAACAGCAACCAAAATAATATCTTACTAAGAGTTCAGATGTTAATGGACTGAAATCTGGATGGTTTGCTCATTTTGACAAAATATACCTTCTACTCTGTGATTGAAAAACCTTAAAGGTAACCTTTTTTTGTTATTTTTTGTCATTTTTTCCTTCTTAGATTTGGGAAGAACTTGTCTCCAGTTGAAGGTGGTGCAATGGCTGGCTACTTTGAGACGGGCTAATGTATCCTGCATCATGGTGCAAGTTGAAGGACTTGTGACGAGATCTCCATAACTGCAGACATAAGTTATGTCATAAGTAGCACAGGTAAGAGTCATATGTTGCATATGATGGCTTCCAGCAAGGGTGTATCTGGGAAAGGGGGCCATGCCCCCCACCAAGGCAGCCAAAAGGAAATAAAGTTTCCTCGTGAACTGTGTATAAATAGCCCCTCAACAAAATTTCAAATGCAAAACAAATCCACTCCGAAATTGTTGGTCCTGGATCCACCCTTGGCTTTTGGTTAATAGCAAAAAACAATGAGTTCTTTAGGTTAGCTTACACGGGGTAACCCTGACCTTGGGATGGCTGTGAGTGCTATGTCAAGCAAGACGGTGGGGCGAGATTCGCTTGTCACCCAGCGCCCAAACATTGTGCATGACCTGTGACCACAAGGTCACTTCCACGATCACTTCCTGTTATTGAAGCGTTATTGAAATTGTTTGGTTCGGGCTAAAGTGTCGGCTACATGTGTACGACGACAAGGCCTTGGTACAGTCACAGTGGTATTAAAGTATCACTGATCACGCGTCTTTTAGCAATATTTTTCAACTCGTTGGTTATCTTGACCAGTTTTGAACGAATGAATAAGTGTAGTGAAAATATTTTCAGCAATGAGGAAGAAAAAGAAAAAAAAATTTGGAATTGGTAACTGTCGCTTGTATTTCAACGCATGACATTGAGCGAGCTCATACACCTGGCAGAAATCTACCCAAAATGCTCTGCGTGTTGTTAGTAGTGACCCTCTGTGACAACCTTCCTTCACTAGAATCTGTGCAAGGCCATGAGCCCTTCCTAGCACCCTGTTCAGGCGCTGGGTGATGGGCAAAGGGACATGATAAAGATTAAACCCTTGTAACCGGGGCAAGCTAGTTGAATGCACCAACCGTACTGGAATTGTTCTCAGTTCCTGGCCTAAGTTTCCTTTTCCTTGCTGTTTCATTGCAAATTACCAAAGATCAATGGTCAACATTTTCTGAGACATGTTCAAGGAGTGAATTTAGATTTCTGAGTTTGATGGAAGAACTCATGAAAGAAGCATCTTCCCCGTTGGTATAATAAATTGCCCAAAGATTGAGATTACAGCGCCCTCAGTTGTCCAGAAAGGCATGATGTCACTTTTAATTCACTTTACCCCAAAGGGATGTTGAAGTTTTCAAGTTTACGATGTGCAGTGTTAGTTTAATCCGTCAGAAGTCCTATCATGAGTTTTAGAGAGACTTTTCTTTATACATATAGTTCATTTTCTGATTAGAAATGGTTGAAAAAAAATGATAGATTTAGAGGAACTTAGGTTGAGTTTGGGTGGCCTGCTCTTAATGGGCAGCCTCTTCTTGCTCTTGCACTCGAATGGCTGGACCATAACCGGAGAATACTGTTCTCAGAACAGGATCATACACTACCTTCTCGCAGGGTTGGCCTATTTAAATCACCAATTTAATCATGATTTAAATCAAACGATCTTAGAAAAATCTGGGATTTAATCAACGTTTAAGCTTAAAAAAAACAGGCAAAAATGTTTCAACTCTTCAATTCTTTTCAACTGATAGGTTTTGCACATTTTAAACAATAAATCCCTCCCTCTGTGAGCCTTTCAGTTCCCAGTTTTGATAAAATGTAGGTGCTATACTGCATGCATTGCACTGGGTTTAGACAAGTTTCAAGGTGGTTTCTGAATTTACATGTAGTCATGTACTTGATTTAAATTTCTTTATTCAAATCCAAATTTGGTTAATTTTGTAGCAAGAGAGAAAAATAAAGACAATTAATATACATGCAGCTAATTTGTTTGCTTTGGAAAAGGTAATTTAGCCAATTTGTCTCCAATTTTCATTAAAAAAAATCTGATTTAAATCCCAAAATCTGATTTGAATCACAGATATCCAATTTTAATTTTTTTTATAATAAAAATATAAAAATCCCCAACCTTGCAGGTTCCTAGCCAGGTTTTACAGGAACAGACGGAAAAACTCGTGAGATTTTGGTTTTGAACAACCGCACAAAATAGCGAGATGGCTTACAAAGCCGGAGACAATTTGATCATGATTTAAATCAAACGATCTTAGAAAAATCTGTGATTTAATCAACGTTTAAGCTTAAAAAAAACAGGCAAAAATGTTTCAACTCTTCAATTCTTTTCAACTGATAGGTTTTGCAGGTTTTGCACATTTTAAACAATAAATCCCTCCCTCTGTGAGCCTTTCAGTTCCCAGTTTTGATAAAATGTAGGTGCTATACTGCATGCATTGCACTGGGTTTAGACAAGTTTCAAGGTGGTTTCTGAATTTACATGTAGTCATGTACTTGATTTAAATTTCTTTATTCAAATCCAAATTTGGTTAATTTTGTAGCAAGAGAGAAAAATAAAGACAATTATACATGCAGCTAATTTGCTTGCTTTGGAAAAGGTAATTTAGCCAATTTGTCTCCAATTTTCATTAAAAAAAATCTGATTTAAATCCCAAAATCTGATTTGAATCACAGATATCCAATTTTAATTTTTTTTATAATAAAAATATAAAAATCCCCAACCTTGCAGGTTCCTAGCCAGGTTTTACAGGAACAGACGGAAAAACTCGTGAGATTTTGGTTTTGAACAACCGCACAAAATAGCGAGATGGCTTACAAAGCCGGAGACAATGGGAAGTTTTGCAAAATTAACATTACTAATTTTCCATAACACAGAACTGAATGTTTCTTTTTAAATAGAAAAGAATTCCGGATAGTTATCCAAACATTAACCATCGGAGAACGTACATGGAGGCCTCCATGTTGCATGTTGATCACCACTAACTACATGTACCAGCAATAATCGGTTTTATGTTCCCAGCGTTTGAGCGGCTGACCCAGGAAGAACATATCAAGCTGTCTGTAAACATATGAGTGCAAGCCACCTGAACTCAGCCTTAATGTCAAATCCAATTACAACGCAGACTAGGTTGTATGAATAAGGTGTAAAGTTAAGGACTGTACAAAGATCCTTGAATGTTTGTCAGAATTCTCTGAGTATTTTGCTGTAACTCATTTTTCTGTGTCTAATTTCATCCCAGACATTGTTGGCATGGAAGCTGTGCGTAAGAACCAGATCTACAATGCCAATAAGAAGAGCGCCCTCGCCTCCTTTAACAAGGAGAGAAGCAAGATGGCAGGCAAGATCCTGTAGGACTTCCTAGAGATGATTCACGAGCATGTCAAGAGGAGGAAGTAACTCAGATAGATGCCAGTCCTCGCCTTCATCACTGAGGAGGAACAGCTTCCAAGACTGAAGGAGGGATCCTTATCAGAATCGTAGGCATTGATTCACAAAGGCAAGGAAAGGACTCAATCTTCTCAGAGATGCAGTTCTTTGCTTCTCCACCTTAGTGATGAAGCAAGTCTGTCTACATTTGCACACTACTCAAAAGGATCAAAGGAACAGAATTTAAAAAAAGATTTGCATTGCAACATGTGAGTGTCATTTAATGTGGTTATGTTCTGGCAACAAAACAAAGACTGTATTGGTTCCCGTCCAATGCAAACTTTCTCTACAGAGTACTGAAGTCCCATGACACTGAGAAACACTTTGGTCAGCACCTTGTCGAGGTCTTCTACACAGCCCTAAAAATGATGAAAGCGGAGTTTTGGAAGAATATGAGTTGTTAAAATGATGTCCTGTTGATGTGAGGGCGCTATTTATGAGTTAGAATTATATCCTGATAATGTGAGGGCGCTATTTTTTTGTCTGAAATTATTACGGCTAAAAAATAAAGCTCTTCCAAGATGTGATATGCATCGCAACATGAAAATATGAACTGTTGAGACCTTTGCTCAGAAAACAAATGCATACATCTGTACCACATACAAATGCATGTCACATTTTTTAATTATTAACAAAAATGAAGACTGATACATGACCAGCGAAGTTCATTTCTAACCATAGGACCCTCCGTTGCTCAGAAAATTGCGCCCTCTCTTGGTCTTGCTCAGGGCTCAGTGGACTCTGAAACACATACAGTAAAACTAGACACCTGGCTGAAACTTTCAAGACAAATGTCTGATCCTTTAATTTTTTTTGAGTAGTGTATGCAGTACAATGCTGCTATAATGAACAGGGCAGGGTCCATACACAATGCTTGGTGTAGCATACCTCGCATCTGTTCCGATTTCAGTGGATGATATTTAGAAGGCCCAAAAATTGAACCGTTCCAGTTTGTCCGAAAAAGGGAGAAAAACATTCTTTGCAAGAGGGCGCTATTCACCAAAAAGGAGGTGCCATTTTCAGAAAAAAGAGGGCGCTGTTTACAGAGTCATAAACTGGTAGCTCTGATTTTTCAATGTTGAAATCGTAGCTTTCGAGTCATTCTCATCAGTCTTAAATTTATTTCTTGAATTTTAAAACAAATTTCAGAAAAAATGCATGGAAAATTTCGGAGACAAGGGGCCTGTATGCCCAATTGTTCAGCATAGAGACATTGTACTTGGGAGGTACTTGTGTACGTTCACTACAGCCAGACACAGTCAGTCAGTTTGCTTTGAAACAAAAAAACTACTGTTCACAAATTACCTTGTATCTTTAATGTATCGTAATGCATCTACTTTCATATTTATGCACATTTAAAACATTCAGGTGTACGTAGGTTTTCACAATGCTCTACTCCAAAAATTCTAATGTGCGAAAACTTGATTACCATTTGGAAAGCCGGTAGACACTTGATAGACTGGACTCGTATGAAAATTTTTAACTCTTTTAAAAAAATTTTGAACAGTAAATTATGTAATTCACATCTCCCTTTCCCATTCAGGCTGCCAAAATACCAACACTATTCAGTCAATCTAGAGGCCGTTCTAAACCTCACTTCAACAAGTTTTTCCTTGGACAACATTCCATGTGCATTATGTATTTTCCAAGTTGCACATTGCCAGAGCATTGGAAAAAGTCTTTAACTTAAAATTACATGTATCACAAAGCGGCAAGTGACAAAATTGTTGGCTCAGTACTAATAGGCCATTACTGAAAAAAAATAATTTTTGAAAATAGGGCATTACTCTCAATATGAAAAAAATTTTTTTGGGAACAAACATTTTTGAAACTTCTAGTCATAAACCTTTTTTTTTTGCAGCCGACATATAAATTTCAACCAATGTATATTCTCATGTTGATGTTTACAACGTTTTTCAATAAGGACTGTTTAGCACTGATACAAAATTTGTTCACGTTTGAAAATATTGCCATTGTGTGTATGTGAAACAATCACCATTTATTGCTATAACCAGTTAATTTCTGTTTGCAAGTGAAATAAATGTTCATTTATCTAAACTAACAGAACGTTTGTGTGTATAATCTGTTTGTGAAATTTAATACTTAGCCATTCCCCAATCTCAACCACACTACACTGCCAGAATTACATCTGTTTCCCACCTTTATATTTTACATTGCAGCATCATCCTAAGCCCTGCCAGTCTTAAACATCTTCCAAGCTCCTTATTTAAAGTTCCCTCTTAGAGCCTTTTAGTCTTAATCCCACAATGGCCACAATAAACCCACTGGCAATATGGAAATTAAGAAGCTATGTCCTTCAACCCCATGGGATCCTTACAGCTCTAATCCTGATAGTCTCAAGCCCTCAGCCATCCACTCTACCCTTCCTATCAGCTCTCAAACTTCCAGGCCCTGGGACTTCCACCCTTGCCCATCTCCTGTACAGTGTTTGGCAGAAAAATATTCTAAGTCCAAACAATGAAAGGTTTAACATTTAGAAACGAGCACATTCTTTCAA